GACACGTTTGCTTGAAACGAAGTAGCGTGGCGAAAACACGACTGATCGGGGGGCGATAATTCGCAAACGCAGTTTCGTAAGACGACGGTGACACACGCCGGTGGCCGGCGTTCGAAAGAGAAACGAGAAGAGAAATCGCGAAATTTCCCGAGATCCTCCGAGGGAAGGATGCAGCGTTTCCCTCATTTCCTTCAAATTTCGTTGCTTCGTGGTGAATTTCGGCAAAGCGGCGCGCGAGAAACGTGAACGAGAGAGAAGACGGTAAAAAGAAGCGAGACGGTAGGATGGCAACGAACGTCGGGTTTCGATGAGTGACTAAGGGTTTCGGCATGACTCGACCAGCGGCAATTACTCGATCGTGAAGATCAACGCGAGGATCCATCAGATCCCCTCGACGTCGATCACGAATGCTAATTTATCATTTCTTCACACCGATTTCTTTCCCCTTTCCTTTTCGCGTTTCTACGTCTTCTGCTCCTACGTCACAGCTTCACCTCGCCTCTCTTTCTACAGAACGATTTCCCGGTCCCTTCGTCATCGGACAGCGCGATGGAATCGTAAAGAGACACGTGAGTTCGTGTCCGTATGTGCCTGTCGTCCGTATCGCGATCGATCGATGGATCGATGGATCGATCGCGCTATGAAAAGATCTCGGAACGCGACCACCGACGATGCCCGGCCGTCGTGGATGGAAAACCCAGCCCCTTCGAACGTCTCCGTCGGTGCCGCTCGTCCCTCAGTCGCCTCGTTGCACGCGTCTTTTCGTTCAGATTCGTCGAGTCGACGACGTAGGTTTTCGCAACGCTTGAGGAGGCGACGACGACGTTGTTGCCTCGGTTCGCGGGACGCGACGGCAGGAGGAACGGGGAGGGGGGCGGGTACATTACACGGAGGCTAGTTGTCGCCAGACAGAATGTCACATCGTGGACATGTACGGCCAGTTGAAGCTGCTACCGCTGAGCAGCATGTCCCTGATCAGCGTCTCGATCGGCGTTTTCCCGACCAGCCGGACGAAGAACAGCTGCTCGATCACCTGCGACGACACCGTTCTCAGCGAGGGCAATCGTAGCAGCAGCTTGCCGAATCTCGTCGGCTGATTCGGGTACTGGGTCCTGCAGTACTCCTCCAGGGCGCACTGCGACTTCTCCTGAAGCGACTCGATGTGCGCCACGTCCGACAGTCCGCACGCGTCTGAAACAGAGAAGCAGCAGATCTGGTTAGAAGAATGTTCAAGAGGACGGACGAGAGCCAGTGGTATTTTTTCGTGGTGGTTTTCGAGGTGTTCTCGTTGGCGTTCGACGTCGACGCGCGGTTCGCAGAGCGATTTAACTCGGCTGGACGAGTTCGCGTTGCGAAAGCCAGCCTCGGGCAAGCAGACACGCAGTCGAATGAGAGCCAGCGCGGAGTATTCGCCCCGTTGGAATGCGTGCCAACTAGAGAGACGTAGCCCGTGCGAACGTCGGACTAATCACGCGCGGGCGACGGTGTCCCTTGATTCCACCCTTCCGCGCGGCACCAGCCGCGCTTTACGCGCCACCATTGTTTCGTTTCCCTCCATCCGGAAAATTCGCCCTCGATGCGACGCGTTGCGCCTCTTCTCGTCCAACAAGCGCAAAACTCCGATCCGAAAAATCCACCAACTTGCCTTATTTTGTCGACTTTTCGCAAGTCTGGCGCTTATGACGCTCGATGCTTGGGTTACATTTGAACGAATACTTGCTCGTTCTTTACTTCCATCATTGACAGATTCGTTTCAAGTAACGAACGATACGAATACAAGCAATACACGAATTTTGGACGAAGGAGCCATTGTGGGCATTTTTATTTTCAACACTTTGCGACCAGAGTGCTTCGAGCGAAACGAATGTCGTCGACTAAAAAATTTTGAACATAGCCATAGTTAACCAGACAATATTATGAAATTTAAAAAATGCACAATTCAACAATTAACAATTTTAACTTGTATTACAAAGATTAAGCACGGCGTGTTGTATTGAAACATTGTCTTGAGCATTATGTGATGTCATGGCATGGCAGTTAAAGTTTTATTAAGTTTCTCACTGAAACATGATTTTCCTATTGCTGCATATTTTCAAAACATCTGCAGCAACACAGGAACTTTCTTACCTACCCACACTGGAGCAACATAATCGTAGGAATATTTCGATTTGATTTCAAGATATTCCGAATCGAGCAACGAAAAAGTACACATTCGAGGATCACTGGATCATAGTTCTCTAATTTTCTTCAGTCCTTACTCATTCGAATAATCGATCATAATCGTAATAGAGGAAGAAACATCGATACAGTCTCTTATCGTCGCCGTTAAGGACGTCCACTCGCTCGATGACTGCTCGTCAGACTTTATTTGCCCTCTTCTCGCAACTTCCGTCTCCGTGTCACTCGTTCGATGTCTCGAACGATGTCACGATCCCCAGGGCAGCTGCCCCTCCTTCGGGCACGGACGACGAGCGTCTCTTTGGGCATGCAAATCGCATTATTTCCATACGTACGCGTAATGGGCTATTACGCGCACGTGGCGGCCGCCAAGGAATTCGACGATAGCTTCTATCGCGTCGCACGGTGACAGATAGAGCGGAGGGCGAGCGAATGTATACGCACGTGCTCCGCTCATAGCGTTTTCCAAGCACAGGTTTCCGAGTTTCGCATTTCGATCCGTCGATACGCCTCGTAGCCCGACGATCGACGAGGAGGAACTCGATCGAACCACATTGCGGTCGCAAGGAATCCGCCAACGCGCGTCCAATAAACAAACGGTCGGATTGGCGCTCCGATGTCGTCAGCGCCAATTCACCGCATCAATTCGAATAATATCGTTGAGTGGCGTCTCATCGTGTCTCTCGTCTCCCTATCTCCCTCCCTTCCTCGCCGCGGCCTCCATCCTCTTGGCCGCTCGATCACGATTTCACGTACCCCGCGCGCGTGCCCTGCGCTCGCGTTAACCGGTTAAATACCCTGGCGCCTCGTTGACCAGCCTCACCGTTAAATTAACCGATTTTAAACTCCGAGGACTGCACCCCGTCCTTTCTCACTCTTCTGACGTTGTTTCGCTCTCCTCTTCGTCCGTTCGTCTCTACGGCGCGTATCTCTTCCAACATTTCTTTTCGCGTTTTCGTTTTTGCCGAGTTTTCGATAATAATCACCACAAATGTATGTAATAATATATGTATAATAACCAACGTTAAATGATCTTGAAACTTATCTTATCATTGTTAACACGTTCCGTGTCATGTGTACCACCGGTGGTACACGTCAAACTTGATCTTCAGGCCACGTGTAC